AATGGTTTCTGCTCGCTCTCTCGGGTTTGGTCTCTAGGGAAACCCGTTTTTCTTGAATGTTTAGTGGCTCTCTATTTGCCAGAGAGTGCTAAGAAATAGATGCTGTAATTTTTGGTCGTGAGTGGGAAATTAGCCTCGACTCAAAACGCCCCGCCAATGAGGTCACAGTGAAAACGCTGTGACTCGTGAATGTGTGGGCGATGAGATCACTGGAGGAGTGACTAACTCTTCTTCGAATGATGAAGAACGAGGGGGATTGCCCTCGATGTGTGTGCGAGTGGGTGTGATGGAGCTGAAACCAATGCGAACATCCCAAAGGCTGTCATTGCTTTGACATCTTATGTAACATTTTGCTTTTTTTGTTTCCGCTCTTACCAACACTGCGCTTGACAGCTGATGATGGCGGCACCCAGCTGTGTGGGCGACTCAACAATGGCAGAGAGAGAGAGAGAGAGAGAGAGAGACCCAATACGACAGGGATAGAGGGAGGATTGCATTGAACAGCTGGTGTGTCCCAGTTCCGTTTTGTCTGCCACTGACACATCCATGTCTCTCGTTCTCTCTTGGTCCCCCAGAAGAGTGCCACTAAATCGTGTATTAAAGCAATAAACGTTTGCATGTATTTATGCCTTGCTCCTTAGTTATTGTTACTGCAAGGCCACCCCACGCACACGCACATGCACCTGTTGCGGGTACGAACAACTTTTCCGTTTCCGTTGCCACACTGCAAACTTTACAGCACTGTCGACTGAGGCAGAGAGCTGTCTGTTATATGACTGCTGGAACGACGGAGCGACAGCTGTCGCTTGCAACTGAAACTGCTTGCAAAATCCGCCGTTGAGTCATTCCCACGAAGCAGGTGGCTGGGAGCGGAGCCTGTAGGGGGGAAGGGACACCAAACACAAAACCGAAATGAAAGTTTTAACCCAAGATTCTTAATGGGTTAATGGGAAATTCAATTAAATGTGGCTCCTAGAGTGGGCTTGGGTTGGAATTCGGTTTCGGGTTCCATTGAGGTTGCTGATTATCCAATTTTTGTTCTGTTCATTATTTTCGTTGAGTTTTAATGGATTTGTGTGGAAAAACATACATTTGATAAATGTCTTCCACTGCCACTGCCACTGCCTGTCTATGTTGTCGCTCAGTTTCGTTCTGTTGTTACTGGTTCTGCCTGATAATCGTGTGTCCACCACTCGACGACAACCGACGACTCCCCTCGAAAATATGGAGCGGAAGCAGTGCTCGCTGCACACTGAAAACCAACCCTGGGCTGGGTTGGGCGTTTGGCGTACAAATTGTATGATTCCGTTCCCCCTCGGTGTCTGTCGAGCACGTAGCTCACATTTCAGAGAACCCTTCCTCGTGTTACAGTGGTCTTTCAGCCCGATTCCCACACCAAACAGAGCACACAAAGAGAGAGAGAGAGAATATTCAGAGATATCGGCTGCAATAATTTTCAGGATATTCTTGATTGGTTTTTTATGCCAATTATGAGGCCTAATCTAGTTAATGTGCGACAAAGTTTGCGCTCAACCTTCTCATTGAATTATTCAAATACTGAAACGAACATACGATCAAAAAAATCAACAGCGAACACAGAACACAGTCAAATAAACCAATAAAAACCAACACCGAAAATGGGTGGCAAACAGTTGTCGTTGTCGTCGCTGTCGTTGTTGGCTGTGTGGCCTTGAACCTGAATTTCGCAGTTCATTTGCGTCTCTCGGTTGCTCTTTGTTGTTGCTTTGCTGCCTTCATTATTAATATTAGTATAATGCCTTTTGTTTAATACACCCAACCACCCAGTCCCCCATTAGCACTCTCTCTGCCTCGCTTTTTGAACAGAGTTCGTATACCTCCGCCTGATAATTGTAGAGCAATATACATACAATAATCATAGCCCAACGATGGCCTAGATTTGGGGAATGAACTGTGCTGGGATCTCGCCAACTCGCCACCAAGAAGAACCAACCGAGGGGCTCTGTTGCATTACACCTTCTATGACTATTCCTCGTTTTAGCGTTTATCCTACACGATTCTCTTAATTCTTTTTTCACACATTCTGTCTCTCTCTCTCTCTATCTCTCTCTCTCTCTCTTGGCTTCTTTGCGCACCTTTGTCTGCTCTGTGTTTGTGTCTCGCCTTTTGGGTTAATGAACTGCATTTACCATACGAGAGCATTTTATGTGTAGCATTTACCCCTGGCATGTACGGGCATATCTAGGGGTCTGAATTTTATATTCAATTTCATTTAACATTCTCGTATTTATTTATTTGAAACATTATCAGAATAGCTGCACACCGATGATGATGTTGCGGCTGCATTTCGAGTGTTGTGGCATTTGCTAGCATGATTTTAATTTCGATTTCAACACAACAATTTGGGTGAAATCATCGAATGCTTTGTATTTGTGTGTAAATATTTTCAAATATGTACTACTCGGGCGGGGGCATTTCGATTCATTTTGTTTTGCATTTATTGTGCATTTGTGTGCTCCCTCTCTCACTCGCTTTTATTGCTTCCTATTTTTGACCCGCGCTGTTGTCGAGCTGTTAAAAATAGCCAACGATTCCGATTCCGATGCCGTGCCGTGAGCCGTGGCCCAAACAAAGCGTCTCAAAAAAAATGTGTCTGCGTCATGAGAGGAGGGGCAACACTGACACAACTTGTACATGTGTGTGCAGTATGCTACGTATGCTACGTGCTACACCCTGGCATTCTGGTCTGGTCTAGGCGATGACGCACCTGTGCTTGCACTGGCCGCAAAAGGATAGCCTAGCCTTCCTCTGGTAGGAGACATATTCGACATTATTCTCCCCCAAAAATACTAAATAATAATACGAACGGAAAACTCAGCTAAGCTTTATTTTATTGTCTGATAGGCACCAATATTTTACTTATTATAAGTTTCTTTCAAAATAAAAGTGTTTATCCAGGGAAAATTTGTGTGAATACTAAAATAGCGTCTTTTGTGGGTCACCCAGAAACTGGAGACACAGACAACACCCACACCTATGCGCACGAAGAAGACTTCGGATAACTTATAGACGTCGTCGTCGTTGCGTCGTCGTCGTTGCGTCGTCGTCGTCTTTCACTTTCATTTCGTATACGAATGACCTGACCAGGCATTGGCGTTGGCATTGGCGTTGGCGTTGCCCTACGTTCCATACCCTTACTTTTAGAACACAGAAAATAGTGATGGAAACGCCCCAGAATTTATAATAAATATACGGGAGATATTTATCCCTTTAATTCCCATTCTAGACATTACAATGAATCACAGTTAAATGATCGCCAGTTGATGGGGTGGGGTCGGATGAGACACAATCTACAACGTTGTACTCTCTCTCTGTCTCTCTCGTCTGTACATAAACACATCCGGCCAAGCAGCGTAACAGTAACAGAAACAGAAACAACAGCAGCAACAAATATATGATAAATTTGTTATCTGTCCCTCTCTCTCCCTCTGTCTGGGTGTCGAACTTGCAACCGGAAAGTGCTCGTGGAATTATGAGAATTTACTGAACAAATTCTATTGCCAGAGTGGCACCGGATATGTCTAAAAGGGAGGGGGGATTGCACTTTTCATGGGGGCGTGTGGGCGCAAAAACCTTGAGCTTTTAGCACTGATAATTATGCAACACTGGCTCCTATAATCAGCTCAAAGAAGTCAATATCAAACAGTTCTGCAAGCATTTCCATAGAATAAATGTTGCATCTCCCATCCACCATAGTCGTTTTTCATAAAAGGCTCATGTATGTATGTACAATGTATAGCCGCAGAGTCGTGTGCTCGCTTTTTTAATGATTTGTCCTAGATGCCAGGGAATTCGGGTCGAGGTCCCATCTTTCGCTACACTGCCAGAGAAACAATATTTCCGTTCGTATCTGCATATGTATGTGTTTGCGTGTGTGTGTGTGTGTATTCTTTTAATTTATGGCAATTTGCTAATTTGCAATAACAATTTCATTTGCACTTTGCTCCTAAAATAGCACAGCCTCTGCTGTTGCTGCTGTTGCTATTGCTGTTGCTATTGCTGTTGCACTGCTTCGTTATTGCACTGCTTTATTCTGCTCAGCCTCTGCCTCTGTTGCTGCTGCGGCCTCTGCAAGCATAAGCTATGGCAGGGTTCATTTTGTGTTTGCAAGGTGGCTCATACATCCTGTTGCAAAAGCGATGTAAGGTTGCTCGTGAGAGCATTGTCTGCATTTGCCTCACCTTTAATTAATCCACTTTGCGCGTATGCATTTGATTTGTTGATGCCTCAATGACGTTTACTGCTGCTGCTGTTGCTGCTGCGTCGACGCTGTGCTCAATTGGGCAGGCAGTGTGTGAATGTGTGTGTGTGTGTGTGCTTTTATGCGTGTGCGTGCCAGTTTTTCGAATGCGCGTCCTTGACCCAGAAGCTGTTGCTGTGTTGCGCCTGCAACTCCCCAAAAAACAACCCACACTCGTCGCCTTGCCTCCCTCATCAGCTGACGATCCTAGCAGTTGGATAACAGTACGTAACATAACATAACAAATGTACCCAATGTTATTAACAGTCGCCTTCTACATTCTTGCACAGGCGACAAAAATGTCAGTGTTAACTGCCGTGCAGTAACATTGCAGTGTTAAAAGGCGATTTCAAATTCCAGTTGACGCCTGCATATCGATAGGGCGTAACGATTGACACAACAAACTGTCAAAAATATGTGCGTGTTGCCAGTTGTCACTTGTTAAATTTGTCTAAAATTTAATTGTTCACATTTTTTCGTAGCTGCCGGTTGTGTTTTTCTGTGGAATCTTTGCAAAATATCCAGCAATAAACTGAGTGACTAAGTATTTGCAATAACTAAACGTTAAACCCAATTCTGTTTACCGCTAATTTCCGTTTAAACTAATGTTGTGCCTTTTTTTCGATCTACTTGCAGACTGCTAAAAGGAACAACAACTCTACAGATAGAAACTAAAAACAAACAGGAGAAGAAAGACTAGAAATAATCATAATACCAATAAAACCACACACACACACACACACACACACAAACACAGACAGACAGACACAACTTAACTGTAAAATTGAAAAACAAAAAAAAAAGGTATTTTCGGCATCGAACAGACAGATTACCACAAATATTATATTGAAAGCTTACAAAAAAAAAGAAAAGAAAAGAAAAGAAAGCAAATCACATTTAGCCTTATATACACACACAAAAAAGAAAAGAAAAAACAAAGCAAGCAATACTTGATAGATCATAGATCCCCAAAGACCCAAAGATTCAAGATTCCAATATTCAAGATAAAGAAAAAGAAAAATTGTCAAAATGCCCAAATCGTAAGTAGATGTAGATAAGAACACCACAGATCCACACAGTTGAGGAAATAGAACAAGTTCGAACAAATAAACCAACATAAAGCAAAGCACAACAACATTAACTGGTACCCAACTCCCGCAGAGGGAAACACATTTTCGTACTGTACGAATCGGGTCGCGAACCCGACCAAAGGTAGGAGCCAGTCCAGTCCACCCCCTATACATATATATTTAATATTAATGGATTATTATCTTACAGCAAGCATTGCAAATCAACTGTCTATCAAGGCAAAAAGAAAGGACGTTCGGCTGACATCTGCCTCAGCCTTGAGGTCGTCGAAGACGAGAAGGGAGTGCATCGCATCCAACTGACTGTGTGGATAACGCCATTCAACAGCAGCGAAGCAGTCAACGAAGGAGTCAGAGCTTTGGTAGCTGTGCCACTCGATGCCAAGAGTCCGAAAACAGGCGAACTAAACGTATACTGTGTGGCCTCAACAGAAACCCAATTAGCTCTTATCTTGGAACTTGTCGAGTCTATTGGCAACCTTTCCCTGGATGAGCAGCAGGAGCAGGAGCAAGAGCGCATAAGTTCGGTTCCAGCAGTTGCCAAGTTCGATGCCAACAAACCGCAAACAGACGAGCTAAACGAACAGTCGTCGGTGGCCGCAATAGAAACCCAATTGGATCTAATCTTTGGTCGCGTCGAGTCTGACGTCGACGTTTCCCTGCACGAGCAGCAGCGACTGGCAAAGGAAAAGAAGCAATTGGAACAGGAGCTGGAACTGTTGCAACAGGAAGTGAAGCTAGAAGAGCAGCCACAGCCACAGCTACAGCTCGACCTTGGTGCAGAAGCGGAGCTCGTGTCCGCCAACGTAGCGCAAACTTCAAAGAAGAAAGTGAAAGTTCCGTGCGAAATCTTAGACGAATCTCCAGCGTCTGCGGAAACTGGCAAATCTGATAGCGATTATATAGAAAATCTAGGACATAAACAGAAGGAGGCGGAGCGCTTGCTGCAGCTTCAAAGACTTGATATAATAAGGAACGTCCAAGAGCAGACGCGCCTTAGTCAGCAGAGGAACTGGCAGACAGAGAAGGAGGAGGAGAAAGCCGCAAGACGATTGGCGGCCCTACGGCAGGACTTTGATCATCAGATACGCGTGCAGCTGAAATCGGCGGCAAAGTTACGCGAGAAACAGGAGCTACAGGATAAGTTGAGAGAGCGCGAAGAGAGGGCTAGGCGGGAGACAGTGAAGCAACAGAAGCTCCTCAACGAGCAGAGATTGATCGAAGAGGTAGAAGCGGCAAAGAAGCGCCGGCGGGAGCAGGCGGACAGAGAGCACCGACAGCAGCTGGAACGCTTCGAAACATATCAATTGCTGCACCTGGAAGCATCAAACAGCAATTGCTCTTTCGGATTTCCAGACCATCCCTATCCGCACCAGGAGGGCTGCAGCTACAACAGCTTCAGCAGCCTCTCGACGCTCTCAACGTCGACGACAATTTCCACAGAATCCTTCTTTGGCTCGTCGCTGATGCAAAACGAAATGGTGAGCATACCGATGGCCAATCTGAATGGCGGCCTCAAGGCGGCGTCTGGATCGGCCGTTGGCTCCTCGACTGGCGGTGGCGTTCGATACTTTTCACAGTTTAGCAAAGGTGGCGTCTCCAGCAGCAGCAGCAGCAGCAGCAGCACCACCACCACAACCACCACACTGGTGCACCAGCACCTGCAGCACCAGCAACGCAGCAATGGGGAGCTTTATGCCAATGGCCGACTGGGTCTCATGCGCATCAAAACGGAGCAACATGAATTTCTGATGGATTCGTTGACTGCGATCAAACCGGAGCTGATTAACGAAACGAAGCATAAGGCAGCGCAGGCACCAGCACCAGCACCAGCGGCGGCGGCGGCCGTGGAAGCAACAGCGGCAGAGTCACAGCCAGCAGCAGAAGCAGAAGATGCTCCCATGGGCCCACAAGAGGCATCAGGTGACGATCCCGAGCTGGATATTGTCATCAACAATGTGGTGTGCTCGTTCAGTGTGCGCTGCCACCTCAAGCTGCGCGACATTGCGCTGCGCGGCAAAAATGTTGAATACCGCAGGGAGAACGGAATGGTGACCATGAAGCTGCGACGTCCATATACAACGGCGTCCATATGGTCATCCGGCAGGATCACCTGCACAGGCGCCACCTCCGAGGTGATGGTAAGTGCCAGCAAATCAAAGCCAAAGCCAAAGCCCAACCCCTTTTCATTCCCATTATCATTTTGTAGGCCAAAGTGGCAGCCAGACGGTATGCCCGATGCTTGGGCAAACTCGGTTTTCCCACACGCTTTCAAAATTTTCGCATTGTGAATGTTTTGGGCACCTGCAGCATGCCCTGGGCCATCAAGATAGTCAACTTCTCGAAGAAACATCGAAAGAATGCCAGCTACGAGCCGGAGCTGCATCCGGGTGTCACATACAAAATGAAAATGCCAAAAGCCACGCTAAAGATCTTCTCCACGGGCAGCGTAACAGTCACAGGTGAGTCCAGCTGGCTTCCATTCTGGCTTTAAATTGAACTTGAACTTGAGCTTGATCCACTTGTCACTTGTCACTTGTTAGCCGCTTGCGTGAATGATGTGGAGTCTGCCATACAGCATATTTATCCATTGGTGCACGAGTTCAGCAAGCAACGTTCGTCCGAGGAGCTGCAGCATCTACGGGCTAAACAGAACAAGAATGCGGGAATCAGTGGCAAAGTGGCCGGCGCCAAAGCCGCGAGCATTGCCAGCACCATCACCAATGCCAGCGAGACGCGCAAGCTGCACGATGAAATCCTAACGATTGCCAAGGTGCAGTCGCGCAGCGATATTCTGGTGAATGCCACCGCTGCCCATGCAAAGACAACGCCCAGACATGCGGCCGAGGATCTGGCGAATGCGCCGGTGTGCAATTGGCAGCGTCTGAAGCAGATCGAATCGTATTGCCATTTGTCGATGCAGACACAGGAGGAGCGCCGTCACATACCCTTCCCAAGGGACAAGTCAGAGTCGGGGCTGTTCCCACACTCGAATCCCAAAACGCCGCCGCGTGAAAATATCTGTGCCAATGCCCGGCGCCGGGCCACCGAATGTTGGGCCACCAAGCTGCTGCATAAGCGGCCACGCTACAACGATCCCAGACCAGTGTCGGCCGGCAAGCCAACGACAATGCAGACGAGCGACATCACATCCTCCACCTCTTCCACCTCTTCCACCTCCAATCCCGCCAGTCAAAGCACAACCAACAGCACACCCGCCACAGGCACGGCTCCCATTCTGCCGCTTTCCTCGCTGACGCCCATCGGTAGCATCAGTGGCAGCAGGCCCTTCAGCATGATCGGCTCTCGCACAATTGTCCCTGACGCGGGGGCAATCATCCAGATCAAGCAGAGCTGCATTAAGCCACTGAATCGCAATGCCCTGACCGCATTCACCGCTGCCTCCAGTGGTGGCAACATCAGTGCCACTGCCACAGGCACAGGCACAGGCAATTCTAGTCTGCGAGCTGCTCCCGCTCCTGCTGCCACAATCAAGAGGAAGCAACAATGAAGCGGCAACTCCGATGTGGATGTTGAAATGGGTCGGCCATGATGTGGATTGATGGTTGAAAGATTCACAGAGAGAGAGAAAACGGAAAAAGGAACAATATATCGTCGTTGCCTATGCCAAAATATATAGAACTTAGAGGAGAAGCAACAGAAAAACCCAAAACAAAACGTAAGGAAAGGGAATGCCCTTTCCCTCTGTGTGTTCTCTGCATTTAAAACGGAGGAGGACACAGCATCGAGAGAGAAACGCAACTAAAACAAGAGCCAAAAATAGAATACTTAAGGTGAGTTGTGCCCCAAACAACAAATTGAATAAACTTTAGCATGTTTCTCTTACAGATTTATGTTAATTTCCAACCAACAAATACAAAACACATCCAGAGATCACAGCTGATGGTATTACCACACTACCATGCGCATTCGTCAGTAAATTTGTAATTGCAGATCCAACTTAGTTGTAAAAATAAAAGAAGATCTACCAAAAGGCAATATTCTTTCATAATACGCAGAGACATACACAGCACAGCCCCACACCCATCCCCATTTACTTTATAATTCATATAATCATAAAGAGTAGTTTTTTTTTTTGTTTAACTTAATTTCTGTATATTTAGTTAGTTAGTTTATGTGAACAAACCACCGCCTAATGAAAGAAAAATACTGTAAAATGAGAGAGAGAGAGAGAGTTGGAGAGTGGAAGAAGGAGAACCATTCAGCAGTCAATCCCCCCCCACAATCCAAAGCCAAGCCTTACAAAATAAGCAATAGAAAGTGCTCTTTAGCAGAGGAAAAGAGAAGGCGCACTCAAGTGCCTTTAATCACACACACACCACACACCACACACACACCCACATGTAAGAAATATTTTGTAACTTTACCCAGAGTCGCCTTAAACCAACAGGAAACATAAGAAAACAGAAATAATGCAAGCAATAGAAGCACTCAAGTGCCTTCCAAACGATTCAAACACAAAGAAACACAATCAAAGCGTCAAGCAGTCCAGTCAGTCAGTCAGTCAAGCAGTAAATTGATTTGTTTTCCTTCCCAACCCAAAACAAAACGAAAACGAAAACGAAAACCACAAACACAATTATTTCAATAATATTAAGAATAAGTTTAAGTTCAACAAAAAAGAACACAAAATGAAAAGCAAAACAAAACAAAAAAAAAACAAACACAAACAATTGTTCATATATACAATAACGTAAGCATAAATGGACTATAAATTTAAGGATACGGAAACACACCTATATCTGGTCACTTGTAAACCAATAACAAACATAACTAATGCTATAGAACTATAGTAATATATTTGTAATTATGTTTACTTACGAGACGGAAACACACACACACACACATTATATATATATACTTTATACATTGCATACCACACAAAGAAACAAAGAAACAAACAATTATCATGCTAGCCTTAGACTCAAAACCCAACACAGATGACGATTACCGACTACCAATTAGCAATTAGCAATGACGGGACGATAGTTCTAAGTGTTTATTCTACTTCTAAAAAACTATTATCGCTTAGGTATCCCAAAAACAAACACCCAAACATAAATTTACAAATATTTATGGATTGATTTTTGTGTATTTTTTTTTTTTGCTTTTTGTTTATTTAGAAACTAGAAACTTGTTCCTGTGTTGTTGAAAAATCGAGAAATGAAAGTAAACAAACACTTTACACACACACACACACACACACACACATGCAGGCATGCAAGAAAAATACATACTAGAATTAAGTCAAATCAAAATCAAGAAACGAAAAGCAAACCAACATATACGAATCGTTAGCAATAATAACACAAAAGCAAGCAGAGCCAAAGCAAGCAGTCGACAAACAGCAAACAGAAACCAATACTCTCCTCCACGCCAGGCAGGCAGGCCACAGAGTGTTCGCGTCGCTCTCTGCTGCTCACCAGCATACCATAGGCAGACAGTCGTGTAAATAACCGTTTGATTTGCAATGCGATTATAACAGTTACAAGCAGTAAAGCCGCAAAGCAGTAAGCAGTAAGCAGTGTAGACAAAAGAATGAAGCAAAAAGCACTAGCCAATTGTACAATCAATCAATCATTTAAACAGAACTCGCAGACAGCTGGGGTGGATGCTATCTGATGGTTTATACATATTTAAGAATTGCCTCAGTTTCCCCATAGGTATCTACCATAAGGCAAGGCATACATAATCACACCCTCGAGAGACCGTAGACATACGTATGAGAACTTCAAAGACATATTTATGTGTTGTGTTTATGCTTTTCATATCGTTCATACTTTAAGCATAATCAACACATCATATATTTCATCTGCTAAGAAAACCAAAACCAACAATACATACACAGAAATGTTTTTATATCGGAATATGCCTTTAGGGAACAAATTGCAAAAGGAAAACATTTGCGGAGTGCGTTGAGGAATGCTGTAAGCAATTGCAAAAATCGAAGTGCTTGAAACTAGAGTTTAAGAGATAATCTTAAGACACCAAATCCCGCAGCAGCAGCATTAACCAATTGAAAATGAATAAACCAACAACAACAACAACAAAACGGAATACTAATTTCTAAGCCAAAATGCATAAATAAGCCCTAGAAGAGTAGCAAGGAAATGGTAGAGATGTCCCATCCCGTAAAGTAAGCAACAAACAATTCTATAGGCACCACAACAAAATATTACAAAAAGTTGAGATTCTTATTGAGGACTGCCTTTGAGCCTAGAACTACTATAGGAAATTGATATACACAAAAGATGGAAGAGAGTAATGAATTATGCTTATGAATATAATTATTGTACTAAGACCCACAAAATCGTACTAATTGAATGCTATGCCACTTTATGTAATAACAATAAACCAACACAGAAAGACCACAAGAAATGGTAGCTGTAGCCGAGAAGAGGAGCAACACGCCTAACTAATGTGTATTTGGTTTCGAAACTAAACATTTATATATGTGGTATACGCCACAAAACAAACAAACAAACAGAGCAAACAGAGCAAACATATGTAAAAGTACGAGTATATATATATATTTTGTATTATTACGTATTTAAACAACAAAACAAAAGAGAAAACAACAACAGAAACGAGCGAACAATGAATAATTGTGTGTAGATTTAGGATGAGGATCGATGATCGATGATTGATGATTGACGACGAAACTATGATAAACAAATGGAGAAAAGAAATAGTATAATTCTGTTTTTGTTTTTGCCGTAAAGACTGCATTATACCAACAATTAATTATATACACAATTATTATGTGTAAACACGATCCACAGAGAGAGCGAGAGAGAGAGAGAGAGAGGGAAAAGAAAAGTGAAAGATGGAAGAAAGGAAACATATTTAGGCATTAAAACAGAACAATTGATAAATAAACAAACAAAAAAATATGGAAAAAATGCAACAAAAACCAAGAAACATTTATTTACCAGCACTGGACCAGAGAGAGAGAGAGCGAGAGCGAGAGCGAGCCTTGAGGCTGAGGCAAATAACAAGATAATGATGTGAAATATCAAAAGTTAGCAAAACGTGCGGGCATGGGGTTGCCCTTCCATTCATAGTTAAGCAAATGCGGAATCGTCTCCTTTGTTACTACTATATCAAGCAGTTTCCTATATACATACATATATCCACCACACACACAAAAAGCAGAGAACTCCTCTGATATACACATATGTTTAGTCTGAGTCTGGTTGGAAGTTCGAACTGCAATCCCAAGACAAAAGCCAACCAAATGAAAGCAATTTGTTTGAATAAAACTCAAATCATATAAATGTGTGCGTCTTTCATTTTTGAAACTATTTAAATTTTAACAGGGAATTAACAGTGGTCGGTCGGCTAAGCATATGTTAAGCATGTAGCAGCATGTTAAGCCACCTGGTGTCGTGTATGTATAACTACAGTAAAGCAGTGTATTTTGCCAAAGAAAAGAAAAACAGCAAAAGCACGCGGATGAACTTATAATTACAACTTTAAAACTTTATAATTGCATGTGATCTTCAGTCAGAATCAGCTGGAAGTGGTTTCCCATGCTGTTCGATGAGTGGACGCAGCGATTTGCAGCCAGCAGTGTCGATTTGCTCCATGGCTCCCTTCAGCACGTCAGCCTCGGCTTCCTCCTCGAGCGAGTGCTTCATGGCCCTCAGCTCGCTCTGCAGGCACAGCTTCAGCTCCTCAATACCAAACGAACGGAACTTTATCGAGGTGGTGGCGTCCGACATGCCCTGGAGGTACTTCTGGTGCTCCTCCAGGTGCTGTTTCTCCAGGTTGAAGATGTAAACAACCAAAACCGTCTGAGCAGCCTTCGTATCGTCGAGGGTGCCCTCGCGATTCAGAATCATTTCGTTGTAGATGGGCACAACGTCCATGTCATCCACTCGCAGGTCGTCAATGACATGCAAATTCATGCCGCAGCTCGACAATTGATCCATGAAGTGGCGCAACTGGCGGAACTTCACGACATCGTTCTTGCCCGTTGCCACTCCCTTGGTGTTCCACGAGAAGCTGCGCACATTCTGGGGCCACGGGAAACTCTCCATCAGAGCTGTGGCAGTCATCGTCTTGCCAACGCCAGGTGGGCCGAGCAACGCCACCGAACGGAACTTGCGATCGCGGCTCAGTTCCTGCTCCAACTGCAGCAGTGCCTTGTCCTGCCCGACGACCAGCTGGCCAATCTGACTGATGCTTCTCTTCGCGTAAATCGGTTGATTACAGAAGTAGCAGCGCGACGCTTTCTCTTCGGCCGCGGCCACAGCAGCTGCGACGGCAGTTTTGGAGTCGCGCCAAGACACGTCAGCTTCCAGTTCTCGCGGTGCGGATACACCGGCCGTGGCGCTCCTGGCGAAGAACATGTACAGCAGCCAGAAGCCAACCAGTGTGATTGCCAAAATAGTTCCGCTGCGCCAATGAGCACAGCCTGCGGCCGCCTCCTCTGGGAGCTCAACGTCGAAAAAGTCCTGCCGCTCCCGCTGGCGTCCCTCGCCGCGCGAACGGGGGTCGTTCTCCCGTTGGAGGCTCTCGACGCGCGAGTGTCGGCGGTGGCGACGTTCCGACATTGCTTCTAATGTACCAAAATAATTTAATTTCACAAAATTTTTGTTGTGCAAAGGAGCTTAACAGTCAACGTTGCTAGCCCGAGTTTTTGTTTGGAATGATTTTTTGTCGTGCTTCGTGCCTGCTTGTGAAGTTCAAAACAAATTCAACTCGTAGACAACAGCCCAGCCCAGCCCAGGTAGGCGAGGATTAAATATTCAGGATCTATTTCTGTCTCAGACAGAACTAAACCGAGGCAGAGAGGACCGATCACAGCCAGCAGCCTTTGATGTGGCTGCCAATTATTTGATACGACAGGAGCAGTAGTACCGAGCAGAGTTTCGCAGGCAACTGAGGGGCGCCGCCCCTTGTTCTGTCCCTCCTTCGATAATGTGGCGTATGAGTATGATCGTTGGAGTGCGCGGAACAACTTGCGCCACTTGCCAAGCGAGAGTCCGACACTGTTAACAGAACAGCAGCAGTAGAGACAACAGGCGCCACCGTACACGCGCAAGCAGTAGAGTGTGCATTGTACAGTGATGTTAACCAAGAGTGGTCGGCTAAGCAGATCCCTATCAACACACACAAGTGTCTCTGTTAATCATTTACATACATGCCCAGAACAGCAGCAGTAGCGGAACAGCAGCAGCGCAAGTAGTAGAAAGTACATTGCACAGTGATGTTAAGTGGTCGGTTAAGCAGATCCCTATCAACACACACAAGTGTCTCTGTTAATAATTTACATACATTTACATGCTGAAGATAGCAAACCCTTGCTTATCATATACAAATTTGCAAAATATAAGTATACAATCGAATAAAACGGAGCATTTAAAATAAGCTAAATTGATTCTTCAAGCGGATTCAATTACTGTTTCAGTGCTAAAAGACTTTGCAAGCTTGTAAAATCAAATAGAAATGAGAAAATGTATATTTGTTGATCGATATATATATTTGATCGATAATTCCGCGGTCACACAAATAACAAAAGCCGGCGGATGGACTCACATATGTATAATTGAAACTTTATATTGTCAGTCAGCCTAAAAGAAGTGTTCTTGGAGCTTGCGGGGGATCACATGAAAATGGCTGGCTCCTCGTTCCCGTCGACGCCGTTCACAAGCAGGAAGCAGGAGGTGTGAATGAAGTAGAAGACGCCCACTAAGGTGTTCAGATCAACAAAGTACAGATAGTAGACGATGAAGTTGTTGCACCACACCTCCACAAAGGGCGTTCGCTCGTGCAGCATCATGGTGGAAATGAGCAGAACAACGGCCAGGGCAGTGCCCACAAGCATCATCTGGCAGATGGTTTAGGATTTAAGTGGGATACAAACTAGTCAAATGAGCTAACCCACTCACCCCGTTGGAGGTGATCTGATTGATCTGAAAGTGGCTCACATATTTGGCCCTAATCAATAGCATGACAGCGAACGAATAGAACAGCGTCAGCACCATTGTCCAGCGCATGTAGAAGAGCTCCAGCCAGGTGAGATGCGGCACCTGCATGTTGTCCACAATTATGGTCCTGCTGCAGCGTGCCGAGATGTCGTTCGACAAGCGCACAGCCACATGAACGGGCGCATCCGCATCGATGTGCACAATCCTGTTGAGCATTTCGAGGGCCCCAAAGCAGGCAATCTGCAAAGAGTCAAGCGTCAGCTTCAGCACCGCACCTACGATCTGTGCGACACTCACAAAGGAGCACAGCGACAAGAGGCAGCAGCACAAGTCCAGGGCTCGACACATTCTTCGATTTAATTCCAACTTGTTGCCCTCAGCTGCCAGCAACGACTGCGAGTGGCAGTGGCATCCAAGCCCATATAGAGAGAGAAAGAGAGTCTTTGGTGTCAATGTAGCTTTGATTTTGTTTGCTGACGCAGCTGGAAGTGGGGATAACGCGCAGCTGGATTTGGTGCTTTGGAGGCAGGCGTAAACAGTTTTATTTTACACATGTGTTTGTGGCGACTCTTAAATGCTTAATCATACGAACAAAATAATGATGGCTACACATTTCCTTGGGATAATGGATGGGGCATTGGGTGTGCGGTGTGCGGTGTGCGGATGTCTCTGATGTGATGGCTTTAAAATTAGTCAACTTGTTGGAGCATTTAGAATCAAAGTAGAGAGGGGTTATAGGGAATAGGTTCCGGGTACCCCGGGGTCCACTACTGGCTAAACTTCACGCCTATATTGTTGACGCGCGTCTGCATATGCTGCAGGACATCCTGCGAGAAGTCCTCGATGGTGGTGAAGCGACTCTTCTGGAAGCTGAAGATGTCCACCAGGAAGGACAGCAGCTGCTCGCGAAAATAGTGACAAATGTCGCGCAGATTCTCGTTGGGGCCAAAGAAGCCCCACGCCATCAGCGGTGATATCTGCTCGGATATCACATAGAAGTGGGACATGAATCCATTGTGGAACTTCAGCATCCGCTTCTTCGCCTTCAGCACCGACCACACGGCCGTCGTTAGAGCCTGTGGAATGGAGCAACAGATGAATCGAATGCCGCTTGGGGTTGCACTTGAAATGCATTGCTCTTACCGTCTCCTTGAAGCCATTGGAGAGCCAACGATTTTGGACGACAGCCGTGACACTGGCTGGCGGCGTGTCCAGATCCTTGAACGAGTCGAGGATGATAAAGTCCAGGCAGATGTCGTAGAAGGTCATTGCCTTGACGTTGCGCTGCTCCAGCTCCACTTGGATCAGGGGCCATGCATTCGGGTCCTTCAGGAAGTTCACCATGTCCTCGTAGCCAACGAGAAACTCCTTCGTGTCCTTGTCGCCCAGACAGAGCAGATCGGTGAGGATCTGCCTGCCCGAATCGCAGATCCACTGGCCCACGGCCGGGTCCTTGAAGAGAAACTGAAAGGCCAGACGAACGCAGTGGAGCTTCGCCAGGTACTCGGTGTCGGTGCTGCAGTGCACCAGCTCCGCTCGAATGGTGCGACACGGCACGGTGTACTCATCGTGATGCTTCAGGGCGCTCTGGAACAGCGGATACTCCTCGTACGAGGTCTCGATAAAGCCATCGAATTCACGCAGATCGGCCACCTGGTCCAGCGCCGAGGCGAAACTCTCCGCTGAATCGAAATTCGGATCGGAGCCGGCTCTACTGAGGACGCTGCCCGACTTGCGGGAGTTGCGATCCTCGTCATCGCCGCCGACGCCACCGCCGACGCCACCGCCGGCAGTGAGGCGATCCTCCTCGGCCTCGTCTATGGAATGTTCCTCGCGAAAGAGCACCGATCGCTGGTCCAGGAAGAGCAGCTCACTCTGCTCCTGCAGCGTGTAGGCCATCTCCAGAAGGTTCTGGATCTCGCGACAGAACTCCGAGTCCTCGGCCGTGGTCAGCGAGGCGGGAAATCCGCCCGGCGAGTAGTGTGCGGCCAGTGCATCCTCCCAGAAGTTGATGACCGTGTCCAGGGCCTCCATGCCCATGACGCCCAGCTGCTGTACGGTCAGCTGGGTGACAGCCGTGGGCACAGCATTCGTTCCACTCGCACCCATAATGCCAATGGAGCCCGACGCCATGGACAGGCGATCCGAGTAGGCGATTGTCGAGCCAACCGGGCTGCCCGAGCGTGCCGAGGCCTTGGAGCCGGCAATCGATAGCAGATCATTGGGACTGCGCATGCTGTTCCTCGTCCTACGATTTGTATACTTCCGGGCCCGACGCGGTGGACGTGGTGGCTTGCGGCGACGCAAGAAACGCGATAGAACGCCCATCAGAGCCACGCCAGCGGTCAGTGAGAAGATGACGACCTGCTCAATGGGTTTAGACGGTGAAAATGGTTGGTGGCAAAGGGTTCTGCTTCAGCTTACCTTTGTTGTGGTGGAGACACGGAAGGGCAGCAGGCTGCCGGTCCATGTTGCCGGTACGTTGCGATGCATGACTTTTCAATTTTGAACACTTTCAATTTGGTTGCAATGCGAAAAGGGACTTAGATTAGTTTTTTTGTGCGGATAACTCTCCCTGGCTCCCTGGCTCCCTCGGCTCGACTCTCGAATTGTGTGCGTGCTTTGAGGTTAGGCCCAGCTAGTGACCCCCGATGATACCCGGCCAACACCAATTGGACCGCACATTGGCCACTCGGCTGTTGCTTTGCTCATCGGCTGGCCTGCCCTTTGGAGTTTGTGTGTTTACTCTTGTTTTGCTTGAATTTGTTGCCTTCGCTCAATGGCTGGGCCATGGAAATGTCAGAGGTTCGCCCAAAGAGGATTTCCTTGTTGTTGGTCAGTCAAAACTTTCACTTTTAGGCCGAAAACAACAAAATTGCATCACAACGTTGAGGGAGCGCGCGCGGCACCAGAGGGCCATCAGCTGTTGAAAGGGTTGCCAGACTGCGAAATGTCAGAGCTGCGCATATTACTGTGAACGTAGTAATCGCAGTGACACAGTAACTACATATATACATGAATTGCTCTCCTTTTGAGTCACGTTATGCTGAAATTGCTCATTTCTGAACAGGGCTGCATTTCATAGTCGATAAATGATTTGTGGGGTTACGAAAGCGGGCGGGAAACAGGGAATTGAGTTGAATAATCCAATCAGTTTATTAATTAAATCAATTATGACTTTTGCATTTTTTTGATGCTAATCCAATTCGATAACACATCGTTGTCTATGTGACGTCACAAGACTGAGAGATGCGCCATCCGGTACACGCCAGCAGCAACCACAACAACAGCAACAGGCCAAAGCAGAACCGGCAAAAGCCAGTGCAAGATTCTCTGCTGTTGTGGCACAGGCAGAAATACATATTCTGGCATTATTAAATTGGTATTTTGGGCGCAAGCGACACAAACACAAACCAGAGAAACGCACAACTACAGGGCCAGCGAGACGCACAGAGGGAGAGGCACAGCCACAGCAACAGCCGCACACTTTCCTTACACTTACTCATGCCACTGTAGCAAAATATTCTTGTGGCTTTTTTGGCTTGCGTTATTGTTATTAGTCCCAGCACAGCAGCCAGCACAGAGACAACAACTGAGGACTGCCACTCACCCATTATCATCATAGATAAATGATGTCTGAAGATGCCAAAAGTGAGTAAAGTGCAATGAAAATTTGTTCTTACGAGCCATAGGCGTATGCAAAACACTTAATTTGTTGCTTCTGTTGGCCAGGTCCAGGACCGCGCACCCGTAATATCATTGAAAATCAACTGTTTCGCCGTCAGCGGAGCCTGAAGCTTGAGGCGCTGCAAAGGCAGCGCACCCTACAGGGCGATGACGACACCGACGTGGCCGAACCCTTCGACAAGGTTAGTCAGCAGGGGAATGAGTCTGAAGCCCGAAAAACTCTCTCCCTCTCTCGCTTGCAGACACAAATAGTCATCATATTCACAGAGAAGGCCAAGCTGCGCCACTGCCAAGATGTGGAGAAGATTATCCAAGAATTTGGCATACAGACAACACTGGAAATTGTGGGGTAAGCCGTGCGTGCCACACATTCAACCAGAGTGATCCCTTTTGATGACATTCTCTTAACTAGCAACACCGAAAAGTATCTTTATTTGTCGGCCAGCTTGGACACGTTGCTGCGACTGGCCGATGTGGCCGAGCTGGAGAAGAAGACGACCACTGGCAGCATGCAAAAGTTCAACAATGGCTGCATCTCTGACTTTCTGCTGCCCGGCATGGGCAAGGATCAGATTCTGCGCTACTGCGAGATACCCGTTCTGATCAAGGATGTGATCAAGCCATCGATCAAGTCCTACATACAGAAGGGCTACATCGAGGATATGTTTCCACTGCACGATATTGTGAGTGTCCTCCGGGGACAGACTAAAATACGAGCAGCATTTGTTCACACTTCCGCTCTCTCTCTCTCTCTCTCTCTCTCTCGGTTTCAGCTCTATTTGGATCGCTTCAAATGGAATTTGAAGCGCACCCGGCTGCCCATAGAGGATATTCGCAACTACTTTGGCTCCAGCATTGGCCTCTACTTTGGCTTCATCGAGTTCTACACAAAGGCCCTGATCTTTCCCGCTGTCTTTGGCATACTGCAGTATCTCTTCGACCTGAATCTCTCCATCGTTTGCAGCTTCTATGTGGTCTGGACAACTGTGAGTAGTCCAATGTTCATGTAGTCAATGTTCAATGGGAATATCGCGAATGAGACTGTCGCTGTTTTCAGATCTTTCTGGAGCTGTGGAAGCGCAAATGTGCTGGCTACTCGTATCGCTGGGGCACCATCGAGATGAGCAGCCTGGACAAGCCGCGCTCGGCGTATCAGGGCCAGCTGAAGCCCGATCCGATCACCGGCAAGATGACGCTGCATTACCCCATGCGCTACACGTACCTGCAAATGTACTGCATCTCGTATCCGGTGGTGCTGGTCTGTGTGGTGGCCGCCGGCTGGTTTGCCCTCTACCAGTTCCAGATCGAGGCCGAGGTGCTGGCCGACTTCGGCGCTGACTCGTGGCTGCTGTACGTGCCGGTCATTGTGCAGTCCATTCTGATAGCCATCTTCTCGTGGGCGTACGAGAAGCTGGCCACATTCCTCACCAAGCTGGAGAACCATCGCACACGCTCCCAGTACGACCGGCATCGGGTGAACAAGCTGATGCTCTTCGAGATTGTCAACAACTTCTTCTCGCAGTTCTACATCGCGTTCGTGCTGCAGGACCTCAAGCAGCTCAAGTACCAGCTGATGATGCAGCTCCTCATATTCCAGCTGCTGTGCATTGCCCAGGAGATCGGCATACCCCTGATGGCCGTGCTGCGGCAGAAGTACGTCAAGTTTCGCCATCGCGAGGTGGCCCCGGAGAAGCTGGACAACATCAGCGATCAGCCACGCTACGAGCAATCGTTCTACGAGTCCGGCCTGGATGCCTACCATTCCACATACGAGGACTATCTGCAGGTGTGCATACAATTCGGGTTCGTTGTGCTCTTTGCCGCCGTGGCCCCCTTCGCCGCCATTGGGGCACTCGTCAACAATGTGTTTGCCGTCCACATCGACATGTTCAAGCTGTGCAACATCTTCAAGCGTCCGTTTGCGCGCAGGGCCAAGAATATTGGCGCCTGGCAGCTGGCCTTCGAGCTGCTGTCCGTCATGTCGCTGCTGAGCAACTGCGGCCTGCTCTTCCTCCAGCCGAATGTCAAGTGAGTGCATTGAATGATTGAATCTAAAACTGAATTTACCTTTCATACTCGCTCGCTCTCTTTTGCAGAGAATTCTTCTCGCATTGGCTGCCCTCGGTGCCGGATCTGTCGTTTGTCATATTCGAGCATCTGCTGCTGGGCCTCAAGTTCATCATCCACAAGGTCATACACGAGCGTCCGCGCTGGGTGCGAATTGGTCTGCTAAAAGCTGACTTTGAAACCAGCCAGGCCCTCAAGCAACTCAAGTGGGTCTGCCCTTTGCCTTCTATCACTTTTATGCCATGCTAATCTCTCGTGTGCTTGCAGGAAATTCAAGACGGAAGCTAATAAGATGGCCTAGGATCGACTCTCCCTTTCTAATCTCCAGTTCCAGTCGTTGGTGCTACCAGAACCAAGTTCATTATTATATTTCTACGTTTTATGCCATTTTAATGTTAAACTTCTAACCCAAGGAAAGTTGTGCCTTATAAATGCTTTAAAATCAAACCCCACGCAAGTGACTCTAGCGCCCTGCTCCCCTGTAGTGCTTGAAGGCTAAAAAGGCATCGATGGCGTGCAGCAGTCCCGCCGCATAGCCCATGTACTAGAGCAGAAAGCGAATATAATTAGAGTTGGATGGCCATTGAATGCTGCAAAGATTCTACACTTACATAGCAGGCGGTCATGGCCGGATATGCCCAGAAGCCGGGACGCACCAAGAACTGCGGATGCAGCCACACAACGCACGCGAATCCCATGTAGCTGGACGAGCTGAAGTACATGCAGGCGGCCAGGCCATTGAACAAAGTCTCCTGCAAAACGGAGTACACATAGGAGAACTCTGCATCAATGCATTTGGATGTTAGTTAGCTACTCACAAACAGCGACTGTCGTATGAGACCGTATGACTTCTCGGAGAAGCCATAGCACAGCAGCAGTATGCCCGTTGTGGTGAAGCAGTGTCCCGTGGTGGCCAGAAAGCTGGTGAGCGCCTGTCCAATCGAGTCCGCATAGGGCACACCGTAGCGTATGAGCAGGCCCTCGCAGAGCATGGCCAGGCCCAGCTGCATCAGCTTGAGCAGTCCCACCCGCGACAGGACAAAGCCAAAGTTAATGCACGTACAGACGCGACAGCAGCAGATCCTGATGCCCAGCGGCTGACTCATGCCGCGCATTCCAAACGAAGACATTGTGTACTACTGCTGCTGCTGCTACTTCCTTGCCGCCAGCCTAAACCAAACTGTTCTCTGTTCTGCCACAAGACAAGGGATGCGGCCTGAGGCTGCATCGCCTAGGCCTGCCTGGGGTCGCTTCTATAATTAGATGCAGCCACATCTGGCGGCCAGTCGCTTGCCTGCCCCCAAGCGGCGCAAGCGTGCCACCATTACGCCTGCGCTGCTCTTGTTTGTTTGAATTGTGTGTTGGATCTGTTCCGTCAGGTACGTGTGCAGGTGCAGGAAGGACACAATGTCACGCCCGCCACTGTAGTTGCTTCGGTGTTCGCCTTCCACCAGCAGCTAGCATCGCTTCCTCTTCTGGGCGCAAGAAGAGCTGGCTGGAGTTTTATTTTTTTCATGAGCAAGAAGAAATCCAGCATTGATTCGCTCTAAGCGTTCAAACTTTTGGCCTTGCAAAGGAAAATAAAACGAGAAAGAACGTTGTAAGACGCTTCGTGCGCGTCGCTACTGTTATACCCGGTAGTCGTCAGTCAGTCAGCATATGTATGTATGCATATGAATGTATGTATGTACATCCATATGTTTGTATGTATATACACATGGGCACTTCTCAGACTAGGAAAATTTAATGTAAAGCTCAGTACTCAGATATGCCATATATTTCGCTCTGCGCCCAGCATGACCAGAGTGGGCAATGTGCAAGCTCTCTGGGTGGACTATTTTTTGTTTGTTTACAAAATGTAAGCCAGAGGAGTGTGTTATTCCAGGGTGGACATGGAGCTTGGAGGACAACAATGCATGGAGAAAGCATAGCATTGTTGAATGAGTCCGTTACGGCGGGGCTCTAATGCAATAAAAAAAATGTAATTACAGTTTGACATCGACTGACTAGCATCTTTGGGGTAGAACGATGCTCGTCACGGCCCGGAGAGTGCCAGTGATGGTGTAGTTATCCTGAGGAGGATTTTTTTTTCATTTGCAACTGTGTTATTGCAATTTTAGTTTATCCGTTTAGTTCAGTAGAGCTGTCGCTGAGGAATCCGCATTTAATGACCACATTTAAATTGCTGGCTTGCAGTTGGCAATAATAATAACAGAACTCACTTCGAGCTTAGTTCCTCTAATTGCCCCGTTGCCATAACTACATTATCTATCAACGCACCCCCGATGGTATTCGCTCCTGCTGGAAAATCCCCATTGGCCGCTGCACGAACCGTTTTCCACCGATTAAGCTGTCAATGAAACAAAGTATCATGCATACTCATAGACCAAATACCATCGGTGGAAAAAGCATCGTGTGTGCGTGTGCTTGCTCCACACAAAAGAGAAGATGAAATAGAATAGAGCAAAAATAAGCCGCTATCATGGCCATACGTTGGTCATCAACCTGGCCTGGCAGGCTTTATCAATGGGAGGCAGTGGCAAAAAGGCAGGCAGAGTCAGTGTGTGCAGATGGTGGTGGGTGGGTGGCAGAGGTCGTGTGGCAAAGAGAAAATGATATCGTTGAGAAGCTGGCGATAAGAAGAGACAAATAATTTGCTTTTCAATTGAAATGAAAAACCATTCAGTCAACTCACCCGTTGCCTAGGCAAATCAGCTGCCACGTGGAGCGGCACAGGCAGCGGTGGCAGGATGCCGTCTACCTGCGGCCTTATGAAGCGAATAGCTTACCCAAAGAATTGTGGAAAGAGCAGTGTTGTTGTATGTAAGCTCGGGTATCCAAAGAGCATTTTCACTGCGTTGATCAAACGTCCGCTTAATATCATAATACCTTCTGTGGAAAGGGTATAACGAATGCATAAAACACAATTCATAATAATAACAATAATTTAGCATGTGTCGGCCCGTCGTCCGTCGGCGAATGTATACATTAAAAGTCAGGGTCAAAGTGTGGCCATTGTGTTTACTTCTCTCTTTCCCTCCGCCTCCCGCTCTTTGCAAATCTCCTTCGCACTCACCCTCGCACTCTCATATTCTGAGGCGTGCGGAGAAGGAGGAACAACAATAAACAGAAAACAGAGAAATATGAATGGCAAAGCAAATGTAACAAAATGAGAAGACAAAAAGAAATCAGCAAAAAATGTTGCATAGACCGCTCATGTTGATATACCCTACAAATAAACTTGTGGTACAGAGATCATAGTCTTACGACATTTATTTAGGAAAATAAGATATTTCAGCGTGATAAATGCATTAAATATTGTATTAATAATGTCTCTAAATGTCTAATATTTGGCGCATAATTTGTCACATCTCTTCATCTCATTTCGTTCTTGTCTACTCATTGGGGTCTAAGTTAGGGTAACGACAATATTGACGCGGTCGGTCGTCGTCGTCAACAACAATGGCCGGCAATTGTTCAGCGGCGTCGCCTCTGCTGCGGTCGCTGTCGACGTCAATGACGCAGCGGCTACGTTTGCGGTTGTACCTTCTCTCTCTCTCTCTCCCTCTTGCTATCTATCCCACTATGTCGCTTCCCGGACAAAGCTGATTGAGTAGGGGGTTTTATACCCTCTCTTGCAAGAGAGGTATAAGCATTTTCAACAGATGTTTGCAACGCAGATTAATCCAATCAGATTCAAATAATAAATCATATAGCGTGATAGTCTATGAGTCTTTCCGCTCTATAAAAGTTGGAATGGCATGTGCAACATGAAGGAATTACCTTAGCAAGGGTATAAGAAGCCACGACTTTCAAAGCTATTGTTTCCGTTCGTTTCTTTGTGTTTTTGTCTTTTCTGATTCTCTTTTTGTCGCGGATTGTATGGACACAGCACACAAGAAAAAAAAACTGTTTTGTTACAAGCGAATGCCGATCGCTGTCTCTCTGTCGATCTTTATACACGTTTTCATTATCATTATTCTGTCTGCCTGTCCCTGTGCTTCTTCATGTGTTTGTGTGTGTGTGTGTCTGGCAGCACTTTAGCTAAGTCAGCACCAAGCATACCCCCACACTTCCCTTCGAAACCAGTGTCCGAGTCTCGACCCAAGTCTCATTTTTGTCGAGGGGCAACTCTTTTTCAACTTGTTGCTAAAAATATGCAAGCAGTAAAAGGAAACCGGTTCCCCCACCATGCACACACACACACACTCCTTTATACGTAAGTCGTTCATATGTACATATGTATGTATGTACAAAAACACGATTGGCCTGTTGTTGCTGGGTGCCATGACCGTCTAAGGCAAGGGGTTTCTATGGTGCTGTGGAGGGGCACAACTGGAACTGTAACTTGATTGAAGCAACAACAACAAGAAAACGATCTCATGCACAAATGAAGCCAACGACAAAAACAACTACAACAACAGCGACAAAGGCAACAACATGCAAAACGCCAACACGTAATACAAGATCAGATCGTAAAGCGGTTTGCTGTGTTTTTGATGGGTTTGTTGGTTGGGGGAGGGGACTGAAGCTGCTGTCGACGTCGACGCCAGCATCGATTACGCGCGCAAAACCGGCAATTGTTGTTGCTGCTGTCATTCTCGCTAGAGATGGCGGAGACACCGCGCTCGTGCATCACGATAGTTATGAACTAAACACGAAGAGGATATGTACGTTGTACATGCATACATATGTACATTCCATTGAAAATTCATGTTTTGTGTATGTTTGGTCAGGCCTAATCAAAATACGTCCCATGTCCATCACTAGTTTTCGCTGCTCTTGTTTCTGTTGTTTCTCGTTTCTTTCGTTGTGGTTGCTGTCACCGCAAGTTGCGCTACTTTGGCTTCTATCTCCCTCTGCCCGCTCTTTCTCTCTCTTCACCCTAATGCGGCTATGCAATGTCACCCACCAGCCGCCGCCGACAGTTGCTGCGGATTCAGGTTAGGTTTATTGCTCTCTCTCTTTCCCCCTGTCCCACTCTTGCTCACACGACCCCCTCTTTCTTTCTTTCGTTCGTTCGTTCTGTCTCTCTCCTCCGGTCTAACTGTGAATTGGCTCTGCGGCGAGCAAAGATCACAAAAAGTTAATTGTGGATCCGCGGCGGCAGCGACAGAACGGGGGCTCTGATTAGGCTAGCACAAAAAAAAGTGGGAGAGGAATTAAAGAATAGCAAACCGAAGAACTCCAAATGTATGTACTTATGTATGTACAAATACTCTTGCAGATCAAGCTGTGATATCTTTGAAATACTTCCTAGAGATATGGGTCTGTGCCAAGTTTTAAAATTGAGCGAAACCAAAACAAATACTCTGCAGGGGTATAACAAAAAGCCCCCGCTATAATAGATAGTCCAAATAAAACGCATAAGCCGAAAATTAACAACAAAGCGTGAAACGGATGGTGGGGCAATGATTGCACTTAATACGGCAAGGGGAATCACGTTCCAAGCCTTATCTAAGCGACTTGAACTTAACAGCTGTTCCTGGAATAATGCAATCATCATTAAATATTTTTGATAGTCGACAGCGGGACTACAGTTGGTACTAATTATTTACAAATCACACAATGTACACAGGTCTAGTAAATCCTCATCTACTAAATTTGTAGGGGTATGAACCATTCAGACTGAAAGTAGTTACAAATCATTTCCTCAACTAGGAGCTGTTGTACAGAAAATCAGCCTCCCTTTACATAATCTTGCTTGAAACGTCACCATTTTGAAGACGGGAAAGATTGTCCACCCACTCCGAAAGAGCAATCATTGCATTGACTCCTTCGTACATTCATATGTTCATTCATATATTTACATTGTATGTTGCATGTTTGTATGTTTGTATGATACATATTCCTTGACCGTGAAACTTCCTTGTATTGTATTGTATTGTATGAACCAGGCAACCAAATGCTGCTCCACCGAATTTTCCGCTGTCACATAATGGACTACGTGTGCATCCGCGCAAGATTCCATCAGTTACATATGACAAGTGTTCTAGCACGTGGTATAAACGGATGGTGTGCGGTGGATCGTCAGAGGATTATGAGGCAATAGTCCCATGCATATACCCCCATCAGGGTAAGGTAGGTACTCCACCAATGAATGACCCGTTTTCTCTCATCTCCTTTAATGTCATCCGAATGCCAAGCCCACCGCTATCGAACGCCATCCACCACCCTACAATGTGCACACAAAGCAA